TTCTTCCTCTTCTCTCTCTCTCTCTCTCTCTCTCTCTCTCTCTCTCTCTCGGGATTTTCCATTAGGATTAAACTCGAAAAACCCTTCTTCCGAAAGATCGAACATGAAAAGCATTTCAAGCCAATCAGACCTTCCGCGAAATTAGAGCTATAAAATTTGAAACGCGCTTCGATCGCGTCGTCGCGATTGGCCGATGCGTCAAGAACGGCTCGTAGAATGACCTCGTGCAGTATACTTGAAATGACGATCGATGCATTCCCAGTTGACTTGCTATCTTTCAGAACTGTACATATACGTCGATGTTCTACTCCGACGAAGAACGTCGATGTTATTAAAGCTGTTTGAGCCATTCGTCGCAGTTTCTGCCAATGATGCGCAATGAAATTTAAACTTTTGGCCAAGGATCTAGTCAGAATTCTCTAAAAAGATCCTATTCCGAATATTAATACAGCGATATTAATACAGAACTGGAAATGAATTATTATTCTTTTTGACCATTCAATTCGCCGACCTCACGGCATTAACGAGGTAGAAGTAGCTTTAAAATAATTCAACATCCTATTCGCTCTTGGCCTCAAGGCCTCTTCAGATGAGACTTATTAGAGTAATAATGCAATTACGCGAATACCGCATGGCTGTAAGAGTTTTTGCGAAAGTTAATTATCTCGGTTATATCGAAGTCAAACTAAATCTGTTGATCGCGAGAATTCCGCATGAGGAAATAAAAGGTGGCGTGAGAGCGGGATATTACACAACGTCTCTTGGGTCTCTAAAGGTTAAATGTAACGTCGATACATTTTTAATCACGTTCCTATCGTTCTGGCCATCGCGCGATTCCGTTTCACGGGCAAATCGTTATTCGTCGGCGTTTAGTGTTCAATGGTTTCCACTTTCCAGTCTCATTGTCAACAATCTCGATCGGTAGCTTCGGCTCCACATGAAAAAGAGGAGAAGAGAGAGGGGGGGAGAGAGAGAGTGAGAGAAAACGAGAAAGAGAGAGAGAGAGAGAGAGCATAATATTGTGTCGTGCCAAGTGGCTCGTCGAGATGACCTACAATTGCTGTTTAAGTGGCCCGGTACGAAGCCAGTTATTACACAGTTGTAAACGGTCGTGTTCAATTTCCGGTCGCGAAACATCCTCTTCTCGAAGGCCCCTTAGGCTTCCCCGGGCGACAAAGAGCGCACGAGGGAAGCCTCCGCGAGCGGAACGGTAAACAACACGACGGCGCGTTTATTCTTACTAAGAGTCGCGCCGGAGAAAACAATTCTCCGAGTTTCTTCCGTCCCTCCGCATTACATTTCACCGCGTCCCCGCTATCCAGACTTTTCAGAGGGGTGGAACTATTCTCCAGGGTGTCAATGTCTATTTTTAACTCCCGTCGCACGACAGTGATAACGACAATGACGACGACGACGACGACGACAGAGACAAAGACAACGACGACGGGGACGATTACTTCTTGTTGCGACCGAATAATTTTTCTCTTTTCCAAGATGCCCGGGAACCTCGTAGCATTCAAAATTTTTACCGAGGAGTAGAAAGAGAACGGAAGGTTTGTTAGTTTAACCCTCCACCTCCCGTCTATCCCCGTCTATCCTCTCCAGCGCGCGCACAGCCACTTTAACCGAGGGAATACCCCGGCGGAGGTGCCGTGTGCCACTGTCAGCGCGCTCCCGGGATCTTCAGGGTACACAAACACTTAGCCACCTTTTCAGCTTCGATAATGCGAAAGCGCTCACCCTGACGAGGAGAGGAATATAATTTTCTCAATTTAGCCTGGCTGTGTTTATTACGCCACCGAGACATCGAACGCGAACATTTAGATACGCGGGCTCGTGCGCGACCCTTCACCCGTTGAAACATTTCTCTCTTTCTCTCGCCCCTTTCTCTCTCTTTCTGCCCCCCTCCCCCCCTCCCTCCCACTCCCCTCTCTCTCTCTCTTTCTCTGTGTGTAATATTCGATAGAATT